ATTTTGATCTATATAGTAGTTATAATATACTAGTAACAATAATTTTTTGTTTCAATTTCTTTTTCGTGCCCTCAGATTTCATCTGAGTTCACACTCATGCCCCTTTTTCTTTTCCCCGATCGACCAACTGTGATTTAGTTGTCGTTTCAGTTTTCAAATCAAACTGAAAATAGAATTCAGTTTTAAGCCAATATATTTCCCACTCGTGTCTAACCAAAATATCCCCCATTAATACCTTTAAAACACTATCCTAACACTCTATTGAAATTATTCAATTTAGATGCTAAAAATATGCAGATTCATTTTATGTTTTGGCACCAGCAAACCTTTATAACGTTCAATTGTCATGCCAATCACATTAAAACCCGCCTGCCTGACTCGTTTTCCCCTTTTAGCTGGCTCAAGATCCTTTTTTACCCTAAATCAAGACCCTCACGACCATTCCAAGCTCAGGCGATACTCAAGTAGTACTTCTTGTGAAGATGTACCATTATTTCCGTTTCCGCAAAGACCACATGTAGGATAGCGTATAGTTCTCTAGATTTCAATCTGCCTCTGTTTGGATCGTAGACCGGTATTGAAACCTCGCGTATGCCTCGTTCGACCAGGAAACCTCTTAACCTCGTTTGTGCTAATACCACATGTTCGGGGTCTATCACATTTCTCTCACTGACTCTCGTTACCAAAAGCACAGGTATTTACTGGGAACTTGTGAAAATGAAGAAGGGAGTGCTGCCATTCCCCCAACCCTGGTCTCTGCCTGAGAAGAAATCCACATACTTGTATTCTGTTTTAAAGTCGGCTTCCAGTCTGGTATTGAAGCTCATGTCCGCTGTTATGCAGATCGCGCTAGTCTTGTCTGACAGCATGAAATCACTGTCTGTGATCAGGATGTTATCCGAATACTCATTCGAAATTTCAAACTTCGTCTCGAAATTTCTTCCATGGGTAGGCTCAGCCCCCTCCTGGTCCCGCTCCAGGCCGTTGGTCTCTCTCACTTCCCTGAGCTTCTTTATTAATAAATTTTCAGTGTGGGTAAGTCTTACCTCCACTCCCCGGACAAAAATTTTATCGACGACCCGTCGATGGTACGTGGCTCAAGTTATCCGGTGGTATTTCCAGCGGCCGGTCAGTGGTTGTCTAACCGATCAACGGGTTCTCTGATCTCACATGTTTCTTCGCAGATACGTGGACTTGTTGGATGCTTTGGGCTTCCTTCTCGTCCGCTTCCAGGTTGCGCTTCCATTCCAGTATCCTCAAGCTTGTGTTTACCCGTCTTTCAATTTCGCTTTGTTCTAGGTCTAATTCTCTTTCTGGCATGGTGTGATCTTCTTGCAAGGAGTGCTCACTGTCGTTTATGATCTGCCATTCCTTATTGGCTACCAGCTCACCCACGTTCACCACCTCTTCTCCTATCTCCTCAGGATGTATCTTGTCGATCATGATGTCATCACCATACCTGTTGTATCTCATGCCTGTTTTCTTACGCGCACCTCTTCTGGTCTCTTTTTGTAAGTCTGGTTCCGTCTATTTTGGTACCTCGTTTTGCTCGGGATAATTCCAAACTTCCTCGGCGAAGGACCCTTCGTCCGAATCTGCTTCTATCCTTTCGTTGTCATCCAAGCTCACGTTCTCGTTGCCGTCATTCATCTCTCTGGTGCCTTTTTCGTTTACCTCACATGCTGGCTCTACCAGTAGATACTCGATTCCTTCCATGTTTTGTGGTACGCACCAGTTTTCCGGTAATTGGACGTGAGGCTTCAGATTCTCGTAGTGCGCCGCACGCCCTGTGCTCAAGCGATAGAACTGACCCTGCTGGTGCACTTCTGTTATCATGAATGGCCCTCTCCATTTCTTCAATAGCTTCTTTGTCCCTTTAGGAACTATGTTGTTCTGGAACACCCAGACTTATTGTCCCACAGCACACGGCTTCGCTTGAAGTATTTTTACCCAATCTTGTTGTCTCCTGCCTGCCTCCTTCACATATGCCTGAGGCGACGTCTTCTTTCCATCATACTCCGGATAGAAGAAGGTCAGGGGCATAGCTCTCTCTCTCTCTCTCTCTCTCTCTCTCTCTCTACCTGTCAACATCATGAAAGGACTGATCCTATTTGTTGAGTGTTCCGTGCTGTTATACGCCCCCACCACCTGCGGCAGATATTTGTCCCAGTCAGTCATATATCTCGAGCAAAACACCCGGAGTATGTTCACTAGTGTTCTGTTCTGTCTCTCCACTAATCCATTTGTTAATGGATGGTAGGTCGTTGAATGGGCCTGTGCAATGTGGGACCCTCTCATCAGTTTTTTTGTCAGTTCCCCCACAAATGCCTTCCGATTGTCCGATTGGAATGTGATCGGACAGCCATATCGTGAAATCCAATGCGTTATCAAGTGATTTACAAGTTTCTTCCGCGAATGCCGTCTGACATGGTACCGCTTCTGCCAGTTTTGTGAAATGATCTATAATTACTAGTATCTGGTTATATCCCGAGTCAGTCATGCAGATCTTCTTACGGTCTATCTACACGACTTCGTTAAACTCCGAGCTTTCCACAGACTTATGTGGGAACTTCATTTTCCTAGGGTCCTTCACCTGCAAGGACGACAGACATGCGTTCACCCATTTTTCACAAGGTTTCCTCAGACCTGGCCAATCAAATCTGTGAAGTAATCTTTGTTGAACTTTGTCTATCCCCTGATGTCCCATTTGGTCATGCGATCTGAACAACACTTCTGTTTGGTATAGCTGAGGTAGTATGATGAGCTTATGCTTGTGTAGAATTTTGTCTTCGTCTTTTCTTTTACAGGCTACTACGCCATCAGCTGTGTGATAGAGTAATTCCTTTCTCTCCTTGTAGAACCGGTTCAAGATCTTGTAACTACCTTCTTCCAAGTCTCCCTTCTCTTTTACTCCCGTCCGAATCCATTTCGAGAGGTTACTCGTCGTTTTATCATTCTTCTGTGCTCGTATCAGATCCGAAAGCCTGTACCTGATCTTGTATCAGATTGACGTGCTCCTTCAATGCCATCATTTGACCGTTCAGCTCTCGAGGATTGTGTTGTGGATGTCGTCTTTGAGCTTCTCATAAACTTTCCTTCTCAAGATCTCTCTGTCCTCCTCTGGTATTAGATTCGTTCTGATGTTCGAATTGCAAGATAGCTCCATGAATGGTTTTCTTGACACTGCTATTTTTTCAAGCTCTTCACCTCTATACGCGTCATCATGTTCCAGTTTGTACGTCCCTGACGATGGATCTGTTTGCAACTCCCTGTCGTGATACCTCATTTTCTCTTCAGCCAATATTGTGCAGAGACTGTCTTGGTCGTCGTCACTCTCCTCCGAACCATCATCCCATTCTTCCGACTCCCTGGACAAATTTTCTTCCTCGCCATCTTTTCCTCGTTGCGGCCACTCCCCAGACTCTTGATCTGGTCCCAGATGCTCAACTTCCTCCTTGAACGTTCAACTCTCTTATTTTGTATCGTAATCCGCCTGAGTACTTCTTCCGGGATTCTCTCGACTAGTGTCTGCACAACCTTCTTGCTCTTCATCAAGTCTCCGTCATGTTTCAGTTCCCCTCGTTTCAAGATGGTTACTTCCGGTCTGTCTTCACCGGTTTTTCATGTGCTAGTCTCTCAAGTAGTTTCCTTAGATCCCCTCCTACCGTTACCTTTCCTGTTTCCGCTTCGTCGAGGTCGCAGCTTTTTGCCTTCAGCGTTTCCCTCACTATCTTGGTTTTGAGCATTATTTCCATTGGCATCCCTAAATTTCTTTTGAGAATTTTTTTCGCCTCATGTTCAATTGGTAATTCGGGATGGTCCTCTATCGGTTTTCCTGACTTGTCTAGCCATCTTGTGAGTGGTATAGTGTCATATGTTTCCTTGTCCATAAAAGAAAACCCATCTTTGATATCCGGTCTATCAGCCTCCCTTTGCTCTTGTCTCTCGTAGAATTCCGTCTTCTTGCTCAAGCTGTCAGCATTTTGGTGCATATCCCTTGTTCTGTGTTCAATGATCATATTGTAACCATCCAGCCGCACTATCCATCCAGCCGCACATCCGATGTAACTCTGGTCCATTGAGTACGTTTTCAGCCAGCTAAGTGCTCATTCAACCCGCATCATGATTGGTTCATACCCAGGTATGTCCTGTATTTTTCCACAAAAGTGACGACCGCAAACATCTCCGCTTTGGGTGCTCGGTACTCCATTTCCGTATCAGTCAAGACTTTGCTCCCGTAGGCGATCGGTCTCAACACTGTTTTTCCATTCCACTCTTGTTCTTGATGGAGTATGCCCGAGATCGCTACTGCCGATGCATCGGTATCCAGCACGTACATCCCTTTCTCTGTCGGCATGTCTAGCACAGGTGCTTCACACAGTTCTTTCTTTTTTCTCTGAAATGAATCTTCAGCCGCGTTATTCCACGTGAATTTCTTTCCTATGTTCCTCATGAGTTGTTGCATTGGGTATGATTTGTCCGCATAGTCCTTGATGAACACCCTATAGTAGTTTGCGTAACCCAAGAAGCTCATCAACTGGTGTTCTGTTTTTGGTGATTTCCAAGTCAGCACTGCCTCTGGGTCTGGTCTAATGCCATGTTTGTCCACCATTCTCCCCAGGTATCTAAACGAGTCCTTGAGAATCTCACTTTTCGATGGCTTGCATTTCAGTCCTGCTCTCTTCATGCAAGCGAACACCTCAACCAGTCGTTCAATGTGGTCCTCCAGGGTAGCTGTTGCAGTCACCACGTAATCTACGTAGCACATTACTAAATTCCCGTATTTCTTCGTTACGCTTGTCAGTGCCTGTGCCATCAGTCATTGGAAGGTGGCTGTCGCATAGCAAAGTCCAAAGGGCATTCTTTTTCATTGAAACAATCCCAGCTCGCATGCAAAACCAGTCTGGTCCCTATCCTGTTTCCTCATTGAAAAAGTCGACCCTAGATGAAGAGTTGTAAAAAAGTTGGCGTCGCCTAAATTTGAAAGACTCTAATCTGTTCTAGGTTATGGGATAAGCATCCTTCACCGTGACGGAGTTCAGATATCGAAAGTCACAGCAAAACCTAAGTTGGTCTCCTTTCTTTTTAGCTATCACTACTCCACACGCCCGCGGTGATTTGGATGATTCTATCATGTCATACTCTAGTAGGGTCTCTATCTCTTTTCTAGATGCATCCGATTTGTTTGGGGTCATACGCCTCGCCCCCTCCCTGTGCGGTACCGCCGACTCTTCTAGCTCTATTTCATGTTCAAAGTAGTTGAAGCATCCAATGTTTGCCATATATCTCGAAAAACCATCCTGATTCCTATCTGGAACATCCTTGATAGCTTCGAGCTGTTCGTCTGTTACTTTTCCCTTCAAATGTCCCGTAGGTGTATTCATTTCTAATTCTTCTAGTGTGGGTCTTTCTGGAAAATTCGATCAGCTCGAAAGTTCATCGTCTGTCTCTGACTTGAATAACTTCACAAGACCTGATGAACATTTTATTTTCTTCAATCTCTCAAAATACAATATTTATCCCTATGATTCGGGCAATCAAGAACTTTTTTTTTCATATTTTCAGTCATTTCATATCTAGTTTTTACGGGCAGTGCCTATCCAAGCTTCCTCCTCCTCTGAACTGTGATTGTCATATCAAGAGTATTCAACAAGACTCTGACACAGAGGCCACTCTTGGTTATCGAGAAGGATCTTCGTAAAATAACAGCACTTTGACTGTTTGGGTTCGGTAATATACATACTTGTTTATTGTCATTTAGTTCAATATAGTTTTTCATCCGCAAACTTACTATTTCCGCCTCATTCGCTTTCAGCCTTACCCTCCAACTCAAGAAAACTGGAGCCTTATTTTTATTCGCCATTATCAAACTTACCGGTTTAATTACGTTCTTCCTTTCAGGGTTCCCATTCCTGAACATCACATTGTTAAGATCAATTGTTACATCGAAAATTTTGATGAAATCTCTGGCTAAAATGAATTGGTCAGACTCATCTAGATTCTCCACCACCAGAAAAATCATCCACAGGTTGCGTTCCCCTGGTTTAGGGCTATTATTGGTGTTCTGCCTAGTACCCGCAGCGCCCTTTTGTTTGCAGCTGACAGCCGTAATCTCGAGTCTATCAAGTCATCGTTCTCGAAACCCATTCGCTCCCAAGTTTCGATTGATATAACGCTCAAGACTGCTCCCGTATCAAGTAATCCGCGTAACTGAGTCTTCTTGCCACTTATGTCAAGCACGTGTGCTGATATGTCCGCCTCCGTCCCGATGTGCACTGAGTCTTCTTGCCACTTATGTCAAGCACGTGTGCTGATACGTCCGCCTCCGTCCCGATGTGCACCGAGTCTTCTTGCCACTTATGTCAAGCACGTGTGCTGATACGTCCGCCTCCGTCCCGATGTGTCAATTGGTATTACACTCAAGACGGCTCCCGTGTCCAACAACCCACGCAGTTGCGTCTTCCTTCCGCTTATATCCAATACGTGTGCCGATACGTCTGCTTCCGTTCCCAGATGCATGGCATTCTCTTCCAGCATAGCACAGTGCCCAGAGAATTGCACCTTTAGTTTTTCTCTACCAACATAGATTTGTCCAGCTAGATCCTCATCACATGTTATCATCGTCTTTGTATAGATGTTTATTCCATCTATGTTCAACATGATCTCATGCGGACCATAAGCTTCCGTGTACCTGTTGTCTATGCAAATTGATTTGCCACCACTCTCGTGAGTAATGCTCTCAGTGCTCTAGAACGGGTTTGCGGTGTTATTGTTCTCAAGAAATCCGCATATACATCAATGTGCATCAATATTTGATCACTCGATTCACTCAGGTTTCTCGTTACTTCATGACCGCCCACTAGGATTATTGACATGATTCTCGCTCCAATTTTGTGATGCCAAATGGTTTGCCGGTCACCACCATCAAGGTATTGCAATTACTCCTATTCACTAATTTTTCTCCGGTCTCATCTTTTGTTTTAACCGTTGCTCGATCTCTTTGGTCGTTAAGTCTTGCTTCACTCTGTTGATTATGAGAACTCAACAGGGGCTAGCTGCTAATAGGGGCTAGCTACTTTCTCATAATTTATCACTAGTGGACTCCTTGTTTCAGCCCCCACGGCGTCTTTGACTTGTGCTACGGCCTTTTCTGTCTTCGTAAATAACTCACCATTTGCTGCCTCTTTGCTCTGCAATTCATTTTCGGCTTGTCTGTTCCTTGTGTGCTGCACCGCCGCCAATGCCAATTTATGTTTCGGTTGACCTTGATTCTTCACTGCCTCCCAAAACCGGGGACAGTCCATCCTGAAAAGGCCCTCATGATTGCAAAAAAAGCACCTCACGCATATCTTGATGATCAAACCACTGTAAAACTCGTGTTCTTCCATTTGTTCTTCTTCGTCTGGCGCATAAACCAAGCTTTTCATACCTTGCTTGTATGTTGTACAATCCGCTACGTAATGGTCTGCTGATCCGCAGTTTGCGCATGACATTCGGTTGTCCATGTCGTCTCTAGGTTTGTACCATGACGACCTCTGTTGTTGGCTTTTCCCTTGCATGTTTCTGTTTTCTGTGAACGAGTACTTCTTTGGTTTCATTAGTATTTACTCCCTTGATTTTTGCCTCATCTCCTCTGGGGTTGGTGCGTTATCCTTCGATAGCGTGTATTATGTTGCCAACATTGTTCTCAAGGAATCACTCCTGACCCCGTCGATAAACTTTGAAGCGATGCTAAACTTTCTTCTGTTGGTCGATTCTTCAGGATCGCTTCTCCTCCTCAATCTCTCAAGATCATCCAGAAATTGATCAATCGACTCGTCCTCTCTTTGTCTTCTTTTTTCGAACCTAATCACCGCCTGATGACCCTTCATACCCGATCCAAATCAATTCAATAATATCTCGAAGATCTTGTCTGCAGTGTCACGCTCCTCCTCCTTCTTTGCCACGACACACTTCAGTGCTGTTCCCTCTAGGTTGCTTAGCATCGTCGGTCAAGTTGTCTTGTTCTAGATGTAGTCTCATTACCTCAACCCAGGTATCAATGCAACCATCTGAATCGTCCTTGAATTGCATATGTTTTTTGAAGGCTTTCCGGGATTTGCCACTGCCTCTGTCATTTGAGTCTGTGTTCCTTGTTGCGAATGCTTCAAGCGTCCTGTTCATCATTTTCCAGGTACTGGTCCAGGTCATGGCATCCGGTGGTTTACCCGTATGTGATCCTGAATCCTCTGACGTTCTCGATGAGTTTGAGGCTCCCCCCTTCATAGCAGCCCTTTTCCCTCCTGACTCCATGGTGCTATCAATCCGAGGTAACGGTGTAGATTTCAGCTTCTTTCGTTGCGGCTCCACGAAGTCGACTCTAGTTCCGGATGGCTTTGCCACCACTAATTTATCTTGGGCTATGGAATTTCTCAAGAGTACAATTTGGACTGTATGGTGCCAGAACTTTCTGCTTGTTCCTTGCTCATTGTGTCCATTCTGGTTTCTAGATTCCACAATTTTCCACTCACGGTATCAAATCTCTTCTTCATTTCCTCCATATCTATCTTGATATGTTTCTCTCGCTCTTTGTCGGTCGTTTCTACTTAGTCCGCCATCTGCTGCAGCTTCTCCTCCGTCGCCCTTGCCAGGACATAGTTACCAGGACTTCTTGTTTGTGTCGTATTTCCTTTTTCAGCTCTTGGCGGTCTTCCTCGCTGCATTTCAGCTTTTTGTCGATTTGTTCCAACTTTGCCAGAAGTCGCCAAGCTCAAGTGAAGTTGTTTCTGATTCCATGTTTTTTTGGCTTGGTTGGCCGTTGCTCCTTGTGTGACCTGCTCTACGACTTGTTTAGCTTCTGTTGTTATTGCTGAAACTGTTCCAAACGTTTTGCCTTTCTCGTTAGCTGGTATTACCTCCTCTTTCTCTTTTGGTTTCATTCCGACCATCGCTGCAAAACTCTCTGTCAACGACGTTCTTTTTGTTTGAGAATTGTCTTTCATCGTTTCCGGTGTGTTCTTTGTTGTTTCGTCTACATTGCCTGTTGGTGAGAACTCTTTTGTTTTCTTCTCTTGTTCTTCATGGGTGTTGATTCCGTCGTCTTTCTTTCCACCCCGTCTATACTCTGATCTGGTGTCTCAAGAACGGTTTCTCTAGACGGTACAGTCGGTTCTTCCGTCACTTTCTCCTTGGCCTTCTGTCCTTGTTGCTTCTTGTATTGACCATGTTCACTGAAACATTCTTTCTCATTACTTTCGCATTTGTTGGTGTTAGTCAAGTTTTGCGACAAGTGTTGACTTTGCTTAAGTCCTATCCTTTTCTTTTCTATTAGAGATGTTCTTGCTTTCTTCATGAATTTCATAAACAATTTTCTTTATCTACATTTCTAATATATATATACAGGTTCCCAATGGAAAATCTAATTCAAATTCTCAGAAAAATTCCTAAACTATTATTTATTGAAACCCAGTCAAAATCGTTTCTCCTAGAGTTGTAGACCGAAACTAAGTATTGGGACCCGTTGATCAGGTCTTCCGATTTTTTGGTAGGAACTTGGGACCCTTCGCTCTATTTCTGTGATCCTTCCCTAGGGTTTATGGACCCTTCGCTCTTGGTGACGGGACTCCTTGGTCTTGTCCTAGTACCCTTTGTTACTGTACTGGGACCCTTCGCTCAAGTGTTGCTACCTTTCGGAAGTGTCCTGGGACCCTTCGGTATTGTCCTAGTACCCTTCGGTACTGTCCTGGGACCCTTCGCTCAAGTGTTGCTACCTTTCGGAAGTGTCCTAGGACCCTTCGGTATTGTCCTAGTACCTTTCGGTACTGTCCTGGGACCCTTCGTTCAAGTGTTTCTACCTTCAGAAGTGTCATGGGACCCTTCGGTATTGTCCTAGTACCCTTCGGTACTGTCCTGGGACCCTTCGCTCAAGTGTTGCTACCTTTCGGAAGTGTCCTAGGACCCTTCGGTATTGTCCTAGTACCCTTCGGTATTGTCCTGCGACCCTCCGCTTAAGTATTGGTACCTTCCGTTAGGGTTTTGGCACCCTTCTTTACTCTCCTAGGACCCTTCGCTCGAGTGCTGAAATCCTCAGGGACGGTCTTGGGACCCTTCTGTACCCTCCCAGGACCCTTCGCTTGAGTGCTGAAATCTTCAGGGACGGTCTTGGGACCCTTTTGTACTGTCCTATGCCCCTTCGGTTACTATCCCAGGACTTCCGACAAGACTCTTGTGCTGCTTCCACTTCTCTGGCCCAGGTGATAAAGCTTTTTCCACGACCTTCCAGTACCAATTTCTGTCCGGTCTTGTCTTTAGAATCTTCCTGTACCCTGACTCGAATGTTAAGATATCCAGTCCACTATCCCAGTACCTCTTCTCGAACTTGTGTAAAAAATCGCCAAAACCCGAT